TGTGACATTTTCTATTAAATTTAGATTGTTCTTCTAATTATTATTGTCGTATATAATAGACAATACAAACAAAGAAAAAACAACGACAACAACAAAAAGAATATAAATTATTTTTGCACTGTAAAGACTCAAAAGAGAAACTTATTTTAATCAATCTACACTATTTGAAATGTCTTTGCTCAAAAATTTAGGAAAGGGGACCATTTCTTTTCAAAAAATAGTAATAGTATAGGAAAAGTGAGATGGCTTACTAAGGACAATACTGCGAAATATGAGTAAAAAACGGTGAGGGGAGGGGGTGGTGACTGGTCAACCCTTTCACCACCCCTGCATCCACCCCTGTACGTAAATAATAAGATATGAATTATTGAAAATATTACAATATTGCCTTTCTTCTTGTTGGGCATAAGCCAAGAGTCAAACACTTTAGTACTTTTGAGACTTTCATGTGTTACCAAGGTCTATTGAGTGTTCTATTTGTTCAAACCTAACACTTTAGCTCACCAAAAAAAAAAATTAATTTTCAGCTTTTGAAAGGGTATAGGCAATCTTCATGTATAGCACAAACATACCCAACCTCTAAAATCTAATTTATGCTTCTAAATTATGAATTATGAGTGTTTTTTTTTTACTCTTGGAAAGTCGGGAACAGTACATGGCTGCAATGGAATGGACTGCGGTTCACTGGATCGTGCGGATCGAAAAACGTTTTCACGCTTAATTTGCACTTTTTATCCTATATTTTTTTAAAATAAATTTTGTAAAAAAAAAAAAAATCGAGAATTGTTTTTCATTTTTGGAAAACATATTGTATCTTGGATCACAGAACATTTTGCTTGTCTGCCCATCCAACAACAATCAAACACTTTGGTACTTTTGAAACTGTATCAATACCAAGGTCTATTGAGAATCGTGTAGATTGATGGATTGGGTTGGGTTAGGGTTTTTTATGAAGTTTTTATCCTTAACTTTATATTAATATAACTGCTAATTTGATGCTGAAATTCAAAAAATCAAGATTCAATTTTTTGTAATAATTGGGAAACATAAGATTGCAAAACATTGACTGGCGACTGACTAGCCTCTCATACGTGTGAAAACACTTTTATGTTTCCATGTGAACACGAGTCTAGTCAGTCGCTAGTCAGTGCAGAACAATAGTTATTTGAATTAGTCGTCATATTTCGATTCGTTGTATAAGTTATTTTTCTGAGACTTTTATGTGGTAAAGACATATGGAATGTTTTTCAAGTGTAGCAGTTTCCATATGTAGTTGAACATTTTCATCCATCTTGTGATATTTTTGTTTCATAAATCCTTCTCAAATGT